AATAATGGGCTAGTACGCTACATTTTTTTCTAATAAATTACTTTTAACATAAGGTAACTTTTTATTGCTACCCAAAAATAAATATCTCAAATATTTTTTTTTTTACGTTTTTCGGCCCACCCTATTCTACAGTTCAATATGTCCACAAAAACCCTACAAAAAAACAAATTAATCGAGCCAGCCGTTTTTTTGTTTCACTCGATCGAATTTTTGAAAAAATTAAAGGATCACGTTTTTTGCTCATAATTTTTAAAAATGAGAAAAAAAGTTTCTTTTAGCGCAAAGGGATTATTTTTGGAAAAAAACTGTTGAGTTAAGCGATCTGCTAAGGATTCACGAAAAGTAAAAAAAAACAATCGCCGAAAAGCGTATGAAAAAGATCGAAATTCGATTGGGGGTATTAACTTTTTTTTTAATTTAATTAAAAGGAGATCAGTAGCATCAAGGAATACAGCGGCGGAAACGCGATAAAAATGATTGGGCGATGGTTTTTTGAATTTCCTTAACTTGTTAAGAAATTTTTTTATATTTTTGAATTTTTTTTTTAATTTAAGCACTTTCTGGAACAAAAATGCGGGAAAAGCTCGGAAAAACCATTTTTTTCCTCATTTTTTAAAATTATGAGCTTTTTAGAGCAAAAAACATGATCCGGCTGGCTGGATTAATTTGGTTTTTTGTAGGGTTTTTGTGGACATATTGAACTGTAGAAGGCACACTTAACATTAGTGGTTTCCTCAATATTTTCGATCCAGCGCTTGATATTCCAAAAAACCACCAAAAGCCCTTTTTTTGTTGCATTTTCAAATTCATGTGACAAAAAGAAAAAATTTTTTTTCGGAAAACCGATGGCCAGTCTTTAAGGAGAATTTATTGAAGTTCTTGAAACCCACCATTAAATTTCTGTGCGATCATTGGTTGCTGAGATATCGATAATCAAAGACAAAAGGATCCTTTTCCATTTGAAGACCGATATCTCGGCGAGAAGTGGGCGTATCAGGGTGTATAAAAAAGCAAATTAAAGCTAAATGAACAAGGTATCCGATCATTATAGTTGTTAAGCTAAAAATAAAATTTCCACGTCCGTAGACCAAAAAGAAAAAACTAAAAAAATTTTGAAAATTTTTTTGTTGCTAGTTTTTCTACGATTACTCAAAAACCGCGAAGGTTACAAAATTTTAAAGTTCGAATCCAAAAACTAGACACTTGGATCTACAATTTCCTTTTTTTTGATTTCCTGTACGACCATTTCTCTCGAAGTTACGGCCTGTTGAAAACTGCCCAAAAATTTAGAATTTTTTTTTGATCCCTTAATTTTTTTCCATTAGTGTATATAAACACCGTGTTTATAAATCGGGTCGTAGCGCCTTTATGCGGAAATAAGCTGAACTACACTTTAAACGTTAATCAAAAAACCGGCAAGTGGGCGTCCAGCTATTTTTTATTTTAAAATAATCTATGCAACCAAAGATACTATTTAAGCAGATTCTTAAGGAATGGTCAGTGAGCGTCCGTTTATCGGTTATTTTTGATCGCTGATATCTTTGAAACGGTTGATCTGAAGAACTTTGACCTTCAGATGTTTTTTGTAGACCGTGAAATTGTCTATAACCATTCCAAGGTTATAAGAATTAAAAATTAAAAAAATAAAAATTCCCGTGTTATTGAAATGAATTGAGGCAAACCTTAATATTAATATTAAGTGCTCAAATAGGCGCCAACATTTTTGTTTTTTAAAGTACCATTAATTTTTCAACACCATTAGAAAAAAAAAATTGTTTTTTTTTAAACACCCTAATGTCTACAGTGTCGAATGCTTTACGATAGTCCCTTAAATACTCATTTACGATATTGGTGCGATGCGGACGGGCATTGTCGTCCACCAACACCAATTATTGGCAACCAAATCTCTATATCTCTCAGCATTCAATCTTTTCATTTATCGCCATTCCACCCCAAACAGTCACTCCTCCACCTCCAAAAGCCACCCTTGCCTCCCGTTTCGTGCAATCTTATGCGAACCGTTGATATGTTAATTCCCGTAGCTGCCAAAGTCTAGCATTGGTATTTTAATCATTTAGGGCCGGTTTTTCAATCGTTGGTTAAGTTTATCTTACTGTTAAATTTCTTAGATACTATTGTGTTAACAATAGTATCTAAGGAAATTAACCGTAAGATAAAGTTAACCAACGATTGAAAAACCGGCCCTTAAAGGAAGAATGGAAGTAACCTGGGTAAGATAGGGGTAGGTATAACTTATGCAAAAAAAAACTGAAAAAATCAAGAATATCCCTCATAATGCGTTTTAAATGTTTTTCAAGAACTAATTTTTATTTGATCCTCGATTTGATTATTCAGCGACATGATAATATCGGACTAAAGATGCAAAGCATAGTAAAAAAAATAGTAAAAACCAGCAATCGTATTTTATTGAGACATTTGTGGTAGTCCGTAAAAGTAGCGCCCAGATAACCGCTGCAGTAAATATATAAACACCGTGTTTATAAATCGGGTCGTAGCGCCTTTATGCGGAAATAAGCTGAACTAAACGTTAATCAAAACGTTAATCAAAAAACCGGCAAGTGGGCTTCCAGCTATTTTTTATTTTAAAATAATCTATGCAACCAAAGATACTATTTAAGCAGATTCTTAAGGAATGGTCAGTGAGCGTCCGTTTATCGGTTATTTTTGATCGCTGATATCTTTGAAACGGTTGATCTGAAGAACTTTGACCTTCAGATGTTTTTTGTAGACCGTGAAATTGTCTATAACTGGCTTGGGTGTTGCGAAAACAAACCATTCCAAGGTTATAAGAATTAAAAATTAAAAAAATAAAAATTCCCGTGTTATTGAAATGAATTGAGGCAAACCTTAATATTAATATTAAGTGCTCAAATAGGCGCCAACATTTTTGTTTTTAAAGTACTATTAATTTTTCAACACCATTAGAACAAAAAATTGTTTTTTTTTTAAACACCCTAATGTCTACAGTGTCGAATGCTTTACGATAGTAATAATAATAATAATAATAATAATAATAATATTTATTTATTTCAAAATAATTTGTACATTTAAAGTAAATTACAAAAATATTGGAAATATTGTCACAGGAGAAAAGTATAGAGCTAATATGTTAAAAATTCATTGAAATCATATGGCTCCATTTCAAGTAAATAATTAAAAACATTTGATTTAAAACTATTAAAATTTTGAACAGTCTTAAGACGAGTTGGTAATTTATTATAACAGACAATACATGAATAAAAACAACTTTTTTCATATATGGTTAATCTATGACTAGGATACAGGTAACAGTGCGTCCTTGTGTTTCGACTAGATTTAAGTTGTTCAAACAAGTGCTTGTTTTTAAACATAAAAATCAGTAGTTCGTATATATATAACCCAGTAACTGTCAATATTTTACTTGATTTAAACAAACCTCTACAGGACATGTCACTTTTTTTATTATTAATAATTCTAACTGTACGTTTCTGTGTGACAAAAATGTTTTTGATATTTTTGCTTCTTCCCCAAAAAATAATCCCGTACCTTAGCAGAGATTGTAAATTTGAGAAATACACTACCATTAGTGTTGACTTATCAAGGTAATTTTTTAAAACTCGTAGCGAGTATGCTACCCCATTCAATTTGCTACATAAAAAATCTGTGTGAACACACCAATCTAGATGTTCATCTATATGTAATCCAAGAAATTTAGTCGCAGATGTAAAATTTATTCTATTTTGGTTTATTTTTGCACTAGCTGGAGTGGTCAATTGATCTTGAACTTTTTTAAATAGAATTATTAGCCCAGTTATTGTCTTTCCCACGTCTAGTTTTCTGTGTATATATTGGAAGAAATTTATCATCGCTTTGGTTGTGCTTTTTTTTTTTTACTAAAATCCATGTTGGGATTGGAATAGCAATTTTATGTTTTGAGCATGAGCTGATAGTCTGTTGTGGATTATGGTTTCAAAAATGTTGCTAAAAACTGTGAGATTTGAGATAATAATAATAATATATTTATTGAGCAAAAATTATCCACAATTTTTAGCACAAAAGGTCAGAGTTCGCAACATCATGAATCTATAGTTGTTAGGATCCTTTCTACTTCCTTCTTTGCGTATAGGTGTTAATCTGGCTATTTTTAATTCATCCGGAAAGTTTCCCTTTTTTTATATGGTCATTGATGATAAGGTCGGCCTTATGGTTTCAGCTATTTTTTTATAAGTGATGGTTTTATTCTGTCATATCCGGGTGATGCCTTTTTCTTTGGTTTTTGTATTGCTTTTTTCACCTCAGTGTTGTTTGTTGGGCGTATATATAAAAGAGCTTCTATTGGGTATTCTTTGTTTTCAATTTTTGGCCCCTTTACTTTGCTTGCTAATTTTTTCCTATTTCTGTGCAATATTATAATAAATATTATAATAAAGAAGCCGGATAGAGAATAACACTAAACCAAAGTTTAATATTAGTAATTTATTGTTTTTTTATATGACTGTAAAAGATGAAAATTTTATTTTTTGTTATTTAATTTAAATAAAGTAGATAAAAATGTTTTCTTTTTATTTCCCTTTTTAATGCTACAGTATACAGTATAAATTAATTATTTACCTATTAACTAATAATTAATAAAGTTTTTATTGCATATTCAGTACATATAGAACAATAAAATACAAAATATACAAAAGCCCATCTATTAACTATTTTCTCACAATTTTCGTTAAAGTAATCACTTTTCTCACTTTTTATAATAAACTGACCCAGCGGCAAATCTGTCGTTCCAATAAAAAACGATGCGACACGACGAGTTTTGACGCGTTCAGGCGTTTTTGACACAGTTCCGAATCGTGGCGATCCAAAGGATGAAAAAGAATAAAGTCTGTGGGGCCTTAATGTAAATTTTGTCACGAAAAATTGACACACCAATTTTGAGATTTTTGAGGATTATCTGTCTAGAGATAGAAGATCTCAAAAAATAAAAAACTTTAAATTTATTCTAGTTTGTGGAATTCGCTCAAAACATGGGCCCGGACGAGAAAGTCATCGTTTTTTGCGGCAAAAAATCGCGCGCAGACGAACTCACGTCCGAAATCAGCTTGATGCGCATCAAGTGTCAAAGTTTGCACGGCGACCGCGATCAGAGCGACAGAGAGCAGGCATTGAGAGACATAACGAGCGGCGAAGTGCAAATTTTGATCGCCACCGATGTCGCATCCAGAGGCCTGGACATCGAAGATATCACGTAAGTTAGTTTGCCACGTTGGCAGTGTTAAAGTCGTGGTTATTTTGTGTTAATGCGTAAAATCAAGTATATGGGGATAAAATTGGGCATTCAGCGTTATTAGGTTATAAATAGGGTGATTCAAAAATGTCGGACCACTGCCCGGGTGGTAATGGAGAACGCCTTTCCATGTGCAATGTCCAGAAATGAAAGGTCAATATTAACTTGGGCAAAACCGAGTTGATTTACTTTACTGTCAGGTTTACAAACAACACTTCTCACCACTTATCCTATACCTCGGTATTATCTTAGAGAGAATATTAAGGTTTGTTCCCCATATCACTTCGTAAAAGTCCAGGCTATTTGTAGCTTTTAAACATGTTTACCCTCATCAGCAACAAAAACTCACCGCTCTCAATCAAAAACAAGACTATACTATACAAATCCTGCATCAGACCGGTAATCACCTATGGTTCCCGGTGTGGTGTGGCGTAGCTAACACTTAATACATAGTTTTGTAACGACTGCAAAATAAAGCTCTTTGGCACATCACCAACTCGGATTGATATCCTACATTGACGACATTCATGAGTTAGCAAGTCTGCCTTATATAAAAGAGTATGTCCTGGACCAGGCCAATAATTTGTACACTAAGAAACTACACCATCACCCGTTAACACGCCACATAACTACGCTCAGACAACACCACAATAGCCGTTATAAACACGGCTTGATCTATGGCAAATTGGCGATATTTCGCTACCCCCGGTTGCATAACTGATATCGCAGTAGATTGACCCTCAGAACCCAACACTACGTGGGTAGTGCAGATCCCTGACCATCGACCGAGCCCCGGCTCTCGGTCTGCACGTTGGCTGTCGCTGTTTGGTGACTTTGTTTTCTTTTTATGTTTTATATCTTATATTGAAATAAATTTGATTTGGGTAAAAAAATTGGACCTATAAGATTGTGGCCGATTATGCCAGCCCAAACGTTGATTTAAAACCGATACTGAAACCCTCTCCGGTGCATAACATAGGGATTCTCAACATCCTAATGATGACTGTTTCGCATATTGCAAATCTTGTTACGTGTAAACGTCGCTTCGTCTTCCATTATTCGAATTCCAAAATCTTCATTTAATTTCATTATTTCCAATAACCCCCAACAAAAGTTAATTCTGGGTAAAGAGTCTTCTTCCCTTAGGGCTTGCACTTTGGTGTAATGAAATGCATGCATGCCAGTGCGTGTTCTCCCAGAAAGATCGACAATAGCGTCCACTCTATCTGCCTCGTATTTGCCGGTCCAAACGTTGGAATATATTTTCGTGAGGATGCTGATGATTGGGATATCGAACAGCATAGAGAGCTGCAGTCACCCGGTAGTTATTATTATTATTCTCCCAAAATTAGGTACTATGCTCCCTCAAAGTCCCACCACGTGACAACGTACGGAACGCAGTCTTTTGAAAATTTGGCATTTAAGGCTTTTCAGGTTATGTATCTGTCAAAGTATAGTCAATGAAAGAAATAATATTTATACCCGGACAACATTCGTGATAATCATACGAACATCACGTCGTGATTTTCACAAATTTTATTCATACTGATATCATACGAAAGTCACCGCGTGATAAATGAAAATCATACGAACGTCACGACGTGATTTTCACAAATTTTATTCATACGGACATCATCCGGATGTCACTGCGTGAGAAATAAAAATCATGTGATTTTTTATGCCATCGCTGTTTGCGATTGACCGATGGCACAAAAAATCATGTCGTGATTTTTTATGCCAACAGTGTTTGGATAATCATTTTTGCGCCACGTTCGTACTCTAAGAGAAAAATTATGTTGAATCAACAGTTTTTGCGGTTAAATACATTTAATATTTTCTTGGATTTAAATTAACTATATATATTTAATTTAAATCCAAGAAAATATTGAATGTTAAACTGTTAATTTAATTGTTAACATACTTTTTCTTTCAATGTACGAATGTGTCGCAAAAATGAATATCCAAACACCGATGGCATAAAAAATCATGTCGTGATTTTTTATGACCAAACACCGATGGCATAAAAATACATGTCGTGATTTTTTATGCCATCGGTGTTTGGACATTTATTTTTGCGCCACATTCGTACATTGAGAGAAAAAGAATACCTACATATATATTGAATCAACAGTTTTTGTGGTTAAATAAAAACATTCAATATTTTTTTGGATTTAAATTAATAGTTAATTTACATTCAAAAAAATATTAAATGTATTTAACCGCAAAAACTGTTAATTCAATTGTTAACATACTTTTTCTCACACTGTACGAATGTGGCGCAAAAATAAATATCCAAAGATGTCCGATGGCATAAAAAATCATGTCGTGATTTTTTATGCCCAAGCACCGATATCATAAAAAATCATGTCGTGATTTTTTATTCCATCGGTGTTTGGATATTTATTTTTGCACCACATTCGTACATTAGGGGAAAAAGTATACTTACATATAATATATATTCAATATATTATATTGAATCAACAGTTTTTGTGGTTAATTAAATACAATATTTTTTTGGAATTAAATTAATAGTTAATTTACATCCAAGAAAATATTAAATGTATTTAACCGCAAAAACTGTTAATTCAATTGTTAACATACTTTTTCTCACAATGTACGAATGTGGCGCAAAAATAAATATCCTAACATGTCCGATGGCATAAAAAATCATGTCGTGATTTTTTATGCCCAAACACCGATAGCATAAAAATCATGTCGTGATTTTTTATGCCAACGGTGTTTTGATAATCATTTTTTCGCCACGTTCGTACACTAAGAGAAAAGTTATGTTGAATCAACAGGTAACAAACTAGGTTTTAAATTCGCAGTTCGCAGGGCTATTACGCATGCGCAAATTTTGCAAAAATCACACCGTGAGTTCTACATGATATCACTGTGATGAAGCATGTGTATGCACTCAGGATATCACGGCGTGACAAAAAAAATCACGTTGTGATATCATCATGATTTCACCAGGAAATCCCGATTGTTGTCCGGGTAGTTACCGCTTATGTTTAAGAGTTAAAAGTAAATAAATCTTTATAGTATCACAATAACGATGGTTGGTTTAAAAATTTAGGAATATAAATACTGCATTTAATGAAATTCTAAAGTGTATGGTGCAAAAAGTGATATTTTTGTGCATTGGGTCTACGTTTCTCCATAAAATAGAGTGAACTAAATCGCATTTATTAAAAAAAAATCTAACTTCTCTATTATGGAATAAGAATATCTGTATCAAAGGTAGGTTAATGTATTAGAACAAAAAATATCATCTACTGTCTGTCCACTGTAAGTTGGCTGAAATAAGGAATTTTGTTGTTTAGATATTAAAGAATTGTCGTACTGTGTGCTTTTAAAACAGATTTTATATTATAAATAATACTAGTATATAATATGTACTAGTATTATTTATAATATAAAATCTGTTTTAAAAGCACACAGTACGACAATTCTTTAATATCTAAACTACAAAATTCCTTAGTTCCGCCAACTTAGAGTGGACAGACAGTAATTTTGTATTTTAAGGTTAGAAAAATCTATTTTGACTAAAATAAATAAGTGGATTATTTGGAAGAGTGTCATAAATAAATATAGGTATACTAAATAATTGTTCAATATGGTTCAAATTAAACTGAAGCTTTTATACTTCTAACGACAAAACTTGTGCATACCTCTCGGCATACCTACTTTAAGTTAAGATTATAAGAAAACAAACAATTTTTAGAGAAACTTGCAATGTGAAAATATTTAATACTTCCATGACATGTGATTTATTAAAATTTTTAAAGTTATAATGATTTTTCGATGTAGATAAAATTCCGTCGAAGCTTTATAACTGAGGAGCATCCGTGCAAAACCGGCTATATCCACTTTAATAAAATGTTGGGAAAATGGCAAAAACTCTCGGTTTCGTGGCCTTTACAGATAAAAGAAAAAGCAAACTTGAGTTTTGTGGGCTTTGTGGTACTTGATTTATAAGACATACTTTCGTTTTCAAAAACTTTATATTAAGGCCAAAATTTCAAAAAATGTTTTGTATATAGCCGGTTTTGATCAAAAACCGAATAAAATGTGAAAAAAGACCTTTATTATTCAAAAATATTAACAAAATAAATTTTGTGCAAACATGAAAAAACAGAACAAATTTTAGTAGTAGTATTGACATATCCAAGCCACATGCTCATCATCATTATTATTTATTGGATATAGCAGGGTTTGCTATAAAAACGTGGATTTGGCCGGTTTTGCTCCTAAAGCTACCTTTTAAATGTGATTTTAACATGGATATAATCGGATTTAAACAGAATTATCTTGGTTGTCGATAGAAATGAACCCAAAGATGCGAAATCAGAAAAAAAACAAAAACTGAATAAAATGGATTTAGCCGGTTTTGCACGGATGCTCCTCAACTATTTGTATTGACAAAACTTTATGTAGGTACACTTTAAGCTGGATCAGAAAAACTACCACATTTTTAAATACCATATTATACAGTCAAATAATCCAAAATACTTATGTATTTTGGTCAAAATAAATGTTTCTAACCTTAAAATTACAAAATTAGATTATATTTTGATTGATTTTGTTATAATACATTAACCTACCTTTATACAGATATACTTATTCCATAATAGAGAAGCTAGATTGTTAAAATTATTTTACGGAGAAAACCAGATATTTGGACCAAATGCACAAAAATATTACTTATTTGGCACCATACACTTTAAAATTTCATTAAATGCACTATTTATATTCCTATATTCTCAAACCAACCATTGTTATTGTAATGTTATAAAGAGTTAAATTCTAGATTTGTAAACAAAAGACTAAATAACTCCACAAGAAAAAATCGCAGGACGTTAAATCGGGTGACCGGGCCGGCCATTCCAAATCGCCCCTCGGAGAGATAAGGGGCGCCCGGGAAAGTGTTGTCGCAACAGAGTCATTGATGTCCTTGA